TCAGGCCGTGGCGGTCTCTTTCCAAATAGTTCCCAATTTACCGACAGCCTGTAGCTCCGCGAAGGGGACGGGTACCCGCAGCTGTCTGTCTGTCTGTCTGTGTGTCAGCAGCTTACAGCGGAGCAGTAGAAAGCAGATGGGCCAAGCGTTATGTGACGTATTGTGTCCTCTGCAGCTCCAAGCTGTCACCTTAACAACTAAGTGAACTTCATGGAACTGAGCCCTTCTTGAGAAGCCGCCAGTTGTGCAGCTGCTCAAGAACTTCCAAGCATTTTATGAAACCCGATCACAAGAGCCCTCCACTGGTCCCTATCCTGAGCCAGATCCATCCAGTTCATACCACCCCATTATATCTCTCTAAGATTCATTTTAATATTGTCAACCCACCCATGTCATAGTTTTCCTGGTGGCGTCTTTCCTTCTGGCCTTCCCACCATTATTCTTCATGCATTCCTGTTCGCCCAATTCATGCTACATGCTCTACCCATCTCATCCTCCTTGAGTACAACTTATGATGAAGCTCCTCATTATGCAGTTTTCTGCAGCCTCCCATCACTTCGCCTCCTTTAGGTCCAAATATTCTCCTCAGCACCCTGTTCTCACCCTCAGTGTGTGATCCTACAGTAATGTCAGAGACGAAGTTTCATACCCATATCATCATCATCATCATCATCATCATCATCAGTAATCTGTCAAGATGACAGGTCCACAGTCTCTTTCAAAACAATTCCTCCACTTAATGCGATCTAGAGCTTTCTCCTTCAAATGACAGTATCCTCTTCTGTCCCCAAGGTCATCCAGCATCTTCTTACGTCTTCTTCCTCGTCTTCTTGTCACTTCTATCCGCCCATCTATCTTTCCTTCGATAGCTTCTTTTAGAAGGCAGTTTCTGCGTAAAACATGACCAATCCAATTAGCCTTCCGTTTTCTTATTTCATGTAGGATATTCCTCTGCTCATATAGTGAATATATAATTTAAATTGATTATAATCCTCAATTAACGGTTTATGTTTCGCGTATACATATAAGAATAGCAATGGTTACAGAGTCAGAGTCAGAGTCAGTTACTTTTACCAGCAATCCTTCCTCTTGGCGCCAAGCCCCTTGAGACCCACGACCAGTATTTCTTTTACCTGAACAGTCCCGGTTACAGTCCTTATGCAACATCCTCTCTGACGAGAGGAAGGGTCTGTTGTTTACAATTGCTGCCGGCCCTCGCCAGCGGTCTTTGTCGGGTCCGAGTCCCGCGGGACTCATGACCACATTTTACTTTCTCAGATTCGAGACTTCCCCAACCTGTTCCCAGGAACAGGGTGGACCGGTTATACACCCAGACCCTGGGTTCCCTTTTCGTCGCCTCGTAGGACTCGCAGGGCTACGGTGGAGGTATTTGAGCCCGCCTCCATACGGTTACAGAGTGGAGGTGCCCTTACCGGGTTTCATTAAGCAGACGGGGTTGACAGCGTTCGGGATTTCAGTTCAGAGTAACCATGGCAACGGCTGCTGCTCGACACACACACGGCCAGCACGTCCTGGGCGCTCCCAACAGAACCCACGGTGGGTTTGGTCGCGTCACCTGCCACGCTACTCCCTGGAGTACTGCGCACGCGCAACCCAGGAGGGGGGCCTCATACTTCGCTGTCTGGAGGTGCTGGGCTCAAATATTTCGGAGATCCGGGTTTTCTGATCAAAGTTTCTAGGGATTTTCCCCAGCTCCTGCCGTTGTTCCCGACCCTTTTTTTGTACGTATAATATTCCATCGGTGTTCTTCTGGTCGAACCGTTATCTGCGGTGGGTGTCATGTAGGCCTGCTTCTGGAGGGACCTACTGGTTCCACTGGGCCTAAGAATACGCCCCAAATGCAACCCGTAAGAAACAAGCATCAGGATCCTTCCTCCGGAACGGCGTGGAACTTGTGTCGGACTACACGGCGTCACATCTCAGTAGCGACTGCTATGAGGCCGTGGAAGCCAACAGGCTGTGGGAGGTTACTGTAACGGCTGTTTTCTGATTGCTTATGGACGTTTTCGTGTTAAGTCCGTCCACGTAGCGTGTGGTGACGGGGTGGCTGATGCAGTGTGTGGAATTTGGACGTGGTGTTGGCTTATGGGAAGCACTATACCAGTATCTGTCTGTAGTAGGCTGAGAAATTCTACGGAAAACACTTCAGGCAGAATAGCCAGTTTTCCTGGCCGAGATTCGAAGCAAGGACGTACCGAGTGCAAGTCTGTTACCGTTATATCGCATCAGGAGATTAGAAACTCGCTGTACCATGTACGGTACACAGGCGGGAGGAGTTCCTTCGTGCCCTGTATAAAGAGAAGGTGAATGAGTTCACTGGGGGCCCGTGGCGTCGCTATGCTCCCAGCTGTTGTGCGCGTCTCGCACGCCGCGTTCCATGAGAGTAGCGTCGTGTCTGCAGGGACTGAACCTCAGGGCAGCAAGATGACAGATACGACAGTGCAGATTTCATCATTCTGCCCTTAAGCGAGCCAGTATTCAGTTCATCACCGATGTCACAAAATTATATAATTGCATTCTGACGCAGAAGCAGTTGAATGGACTCTATGTCATGACGTGATGTTTATGCTTCTGATTTGTATTTCTCTGTCTTGACCATTAAAAAAGTAATGGTAGTTATGTCATCGGGAATCGGACCCGCGACCTTCCGGCTTGTAGTGTAGTGTCTCAAGCAACTACGCTACCGCTGTGTGTCTCAATACTGACGGCGTCATAAAGCATCTCTCTCACACTCACAGTGTGCTTATGTGTTTCATGCGACTGTTTCCCCGGTAGCTTTAACCGGTTGGGCTTGGTAGCGGTGACGTAATGTCTTCCCTGTGAGGTACGAACTAAGTCTTTAACATCTTGAAGTTAATTAACATTACATAATAGAATTGTGTAGGCAAGAAGCAGAAGTCATACAAAATCACGAGAATGCACATGTTCGCGGCACAGGGCAAGGCGAAGCCAGACACAGAAAATATAAGAGGCTTAAACTTGGCGGTGGTGAAGCGTACGATTGTCCGTTGTAGCATAAGATACGTAAGATAAGCACGAGCTTTGCAGAGCGTGTGCTGACAGAGGAAGAACTTTCAGTAACACGCTGTATGTGCGATACGTACACTTGACGGAAGGACAGGCATATTTATAAGAGACAAACCCATGTTCTTATCAGAGACTTTGTTGCGTAAGGACTATGGCGGCAAGGTTTCGGTTGAAAAAAAATATCTGTTCGTGAGCAACGAAGGGCTTGGGGCCTAGACGAACTGGTTGGCGGTAAACCGCCAGTCGTAGAGTGGCTCTGTCTCTGACTGGAAACTTGAGTGCACAGTATTACTCTGCTTTGTATTCGGGAGGTCCCGGGTTGAAATCTCGGCCCGGAAACTGTATGCCCTGACTGGGGCGTTTTCGTAGGTTTTCTCATTCCCTCCATGTAAATGTCAGTATATTTCAAAGTAGGCCACGACATCTTCCTTCCACGTGCTATCGCTAAATATCCTGTGGCTGACGCCTTCAACCGATCGTGTCTTAGGTCTCGGTCCTGAAGACGCGGATTGCAGGAGAATACCATAAGAAAAACCACGGCTTCTTCCCCGCGTCACTTTCAGTCCATCACTCACAAATCTGTACTGTTCACAGTCCAACAGCTGTGTCATCACATGTGCGCATGTGTGAACGTTCGAGGCTGTAATACATCGTTTGGTTTTCGCTACGTCTGAAGCTTGTTTTCTTGTGATTTGCGTTTACTCCTGTAATGAAGACACAGCAAACCCTCGCTAATCCTGATCGAAAACTGAAAAATGCTGCTCACAGTTCAGTCGCTTGTTCAGACAAAACTTGACAGTTTACTGAAGTCTACATAAGCACAGTTCTGAGCCTTCTGTCGGTGCATACATGTATTGTCTTCTTGTAGTTTCTAAATAAAGGCTCTGCAGTGATATGTCCTTATTCATTTTATCAGCACTATAATTTTCCTTGGGAGCAAAGCGCGGCCGGCGCGTAAGGCTGACAACATACCGCCATATTTGAGCCGATTGTCTTGACAGTGTGGGACCCTATGGGCCTTCACGGCCCGGTACAGGGACAGCTTCACTTTTTTTTATTTACTTATATCATCACATTTTCCATGTATTTGTGTTCTGTGTTTCTTTTTGTCTTTAAGGGCTACTTTTGCTTCACTAATCCGGATTATCTCCTAATTCGGATGAACTCTCACTCCTCCATTTGCTGCGGAGTAGCGGAGGTTTACTGTTATGTTGAATTCGCCGTGCTCAGCCGGCAACTTCTCTGACTCTTCTGTGTGGCTGGTTTCAGCCATTGCAGGCGCGCACCGACGTCTGTGTGCTGAGCCTCTAGTTAGTAATGCAGGCCTCCGCACAACACCGCAGATGGTGTTTCAATACAAAGTTGATTATTTAACGACGCTATCAGACTATGTAGCGTCGGATGATCAATGAATAAGGACGAGTCTATGGAATAAGAATTGGCAGGGGAATCAGATTTTTGCTTTTTTTTTTTTTTTTTTTTTNCGGTGGGGAAGTGTTGCCAACATCGCGGGACCGCCCACAATTTTGTGTCGCCTCCGTTCCGGCTAAAAATGCGAAGTGCACACAGAATTTGAAGGAAAGCGCCAGTGGACACAGCCACGGTAAAGGTGCCCGTTTCCTGTGATATGACGCCGTGCACTTCTGTATATGTGCATGTAAGTACTTTTCGGCTGCGGGCGTAGGCTAGAGCAGGAGGTTCCTCCGAACGTTAATAACTATGTACAAAATTACACGGCGTCACGTCTAACAGGGCAGTAACACTCATAGGCACTTCCAGTAGATCCTTGGATCTTGAGCAGTATGTGGATTGAATTTATCTGGCTCACTGGTGGGCTCTTGTGAGCGCGGTAATAACTTTTTTTGGGTTGCATAACAGATGGGGTGGGGGTGGGGATTTCTTGGCGGTTGAGTGACTCTGTTCCTCGGAAATAAGAAGAAGATCTCGCAGCATACGCATTGTATATTTGTCGCTACTGAACTCAGTATAAATGTTACACGTTGTGGCCGCAACTGGCACACTCGCTCGTCGCCATGATACGCAAGAGGCGAGTCCCCTTGACGAAGGCCATCAGCATGTCGAAGTCCACTTTGATGCACTCCCCCGACAGGAACACCTGCTCCACGTTCTCTGCCTGTCCGTGCGCTGCGTCGCTGAGCACGACGCTCTGCCTGCCGCCGTTCTTGTCGAGCCGCAGGGAGTAGCGGAAGGGGCCCGGGGACTCCCCGCAGCGGTGCACAGACAGACAGAGCTTGCGGTGGGAGATGTCGAACCTCTTGTACAGCACGAACACCTCAGCACACGCGAACAGCACGTGGTGTGAGTTGTGGAAGCATTCAGGATTGGAGAGCTCCCACGTGGCCTCCTGTTCTTGCGACGCCGCCATGACGGCCGTGCTGTGGCGCGTCTCGACGTGTTCCCGGATCTCGCCAAACCTGCACAACAAGGAACAGAGTCAGCCTCAACGTAAGGACAGTACACCATGGTTTACTTGAAAAGCAACGTGCATCTGAGGTTCTCACGGCGGTCACTGTGACACGTGTCTCCCCACTTCACTCCGAAACGTCGGCGACGATCTATCACACGACACTGCCGTCACACTGCAGTACAGCAGGTGTTGCCTACACCTTCACAGCAGAGAATGCTGCAAGTCTGTCTTCATGGCCTGTATAATGAAAGGGCACGCGGTAGCGCAGTTGGTTAAGGCACTATGCTACAAGCCGAAAGGGCGCGCGCTCGTTTCCCGATGAGGTAATTGGATTCTACAGTTCAATTCCAGCCGCACTATGGCCCTGGGGTCGACTCAGCCTCTAACAGAAATGGGCACCAGGAACCCTCCTGGGGGTAACGGGCGGCCGGCGCGTAAGGCTGACAACCTCACCGCCACCCGTGAGCAGATTGTCTAGAGAACATGTAGGAGCCTCGACGTCTCACAGCCCTATGGGCCTCCGCGGCCTGTTACAGGGATAGATCCGCCTGTTTATATAACGACACTGGCAGTAGCTCCGACGTACAGCGCCTAATTCTACGATAATTAGCGAATAATTAATTTTAAGTGATGTGGAAGGAAGTGGTCGTGGCCTAATTTGAAACAGTACCATGGTATTTATTCGCTGGAATGTCAGGATAAACAACATACCAGTCTCGATAGCCGGCCGGCTCAGGGTCGAGATGTGAAGGAGGAGGGCTACCCCCTGGGCTCGAACACAGGACCGCTTGTTTGAGAAAACTGTCGAACGGGTAAAATTTTATTAAAACAGATCCAAGCAAAAATCATCTGCAAGAATACTGCCGTGTAGTCTGGTAGACATTTACCGTCGTTTTGGAGGAACGTACTGCTTCCTTCTTCAGGATCTAGGAGTAAGCCAGACAAGCAATCAGAACGTTCAGCTCACCGCTGAACCAACACTCATGCACCTCCATTTAGTGCCGAGCTTAGGAATGCGTGGAACTACCCCTCATGGCCCCCCATACGTTTCCACGGGATGCTACTTAACACACGGATGACACGGTCTGACTCAGTGGGGGCAGAGTCAAGAAATCTTGCGCCACTTGTTCATAAGAGCTGTTGAGTGGTCCCCTATTCCTGAGCCAGATGAATCTAGTCCAGCGACAGTACCTGCTGTCGCGCGGCGCGTTTCGAATCTTGGCCATGACATCGACTAACTTGACTGAATTTTTTCGTGGTTTTCTTCAGCTTATCAATTTGCCGTCCTACCGTCCGACGCCCCTTCATTCTCTTGTGTTTGTCGTGTGACGATGGGTCCCTGGGTGAGCGCAGGGGAAACATGACGCGCGCGCGCAAAGTACGGTACCTGCCAGTCCACTTGCAGCCCTCCAGCTCCCGCAGAGGGCAGTCGTACGAGCGATGAGGACACTGCGCGTGGTGCTTGCCGACGTCGTCCATGCGGAACTTCCCGCGGCACCCTGCAGGGCTGAAGCGGCACGGGTAGACCAGGTTGCGCGCAATGGTTTCCAGCGCCACGTTGCGTGTGTCCAGCAGCGGCCGCTCGCAGCTCGGGCACTTCTCGGTGCCGGACCGGCAGCGCGAGCAGATGTTGTGTCCGGCCTGGCAGAGCGTGATGGGCGGACACATGTACTCACGGCACAGCGGACACGTGAGCGTCTGGAACACGCTCTGGCGGCCCGCCGGCTTGGACCCCGCGTGACTCATTCTGAAGATAAGCAACAGAATTGTCACAGTGTGACAATCCCACCCACTTCTGACTAATTATCTCGGAAACCGCGAGACTTGCGGAAAAGAAACGTATTTGATTGTTCTCTAAAATTTTGTTCCAATCATTGTTCGCTCCGATAAACACTTAGAGGTGCACTTCTAGCAGTGCTACCCGCACACACTGCCTTGTGTGCTACAGCTGCCTCTCGTGGATCTGAACAGAGCAAATTGAAAGCAGTCCCCATTCCAGGTGCCACTGAGAACATTCGTGAAATCAAAATATCAACAGTAACAGGAGTTTGGCAGAAGCTGACTCCAAACCTCAGGGTTGACTTTGAGGGGCTCAAGGCTTCGGTGGATGTGCTGGAAACAGCAACACAGCTAGAACCTGGAGTGGAGCCTGACGTTGTGATGCAATCTCACGATAAAACTTAAGCGGAGGAGGGGTTGCTTCTTCAGATGGAAACTGCTCCTGGTGAGGATGCTGTGAACACTGTTTACATGACAACAAAGGATTTAGAGTATTACATAAACTTAGCTGATAAGGCAGCGCTTGAGAGCATTGACTTCGATTTTGAAAGAAGTTCCATTGTGGGTAAAATACTATCAAACAGCATCGCATGCTGCAGAGAAATCTTTCGTGAAGGGAAGAGTCAATCGATTCGGCACATTTCATTGTTGTCTTATTTTAAGAAATTGCCACCGCCACCCCAACCTTCAGCAGCCATCAACATCGGGGCAAGACCCCGTCAGCAAAACGATTACGACTCGCTGAAATCTCAGATGATGGTTAGCATTTTTTTAGCAAATAAAGTATTTCTAATTAAGGCATGCGCATTGTTTGTAGACATAATGCTATTGCGCACTTAACAGACTACAGTATAGTCTATATGCGTGGAACTCGCTTTAGTGCGCTAATCTGGAACCGAACCCGCAATATCTCCGAGGTATGCCTGTACTTTGCTACTCTTGGCCGTCTCTTCTTGTCTCTAACCCTTCTCCCAGTTTCGTCTTTCTGTTCTGTCTCCTACTTCCGAATTTACTCACGTCCCTCCGAAACGTCGGTGAACTCATACCCGCTATCTGCCGGGCCCCAGACAGTGATCTCCTGTGTCTTGCAGCTCTGGCTAGCCACGCGGCAGACGCCTTGTGTAGCTGAATGGAACAGATAAGCTGATAGTTGCTCAGATTCTCAAGGAATTCCCTCCACCTTTTGTGGTATTGAAAAGTTTGTTGCCGTGAGCTCAGCAATGCATCATTGGTCTGTATCCTGAGCCAGGTCAATGCAGGGACGATCCATTTTAATATTATTTTCCCAGTGTCTAGACCTACCTAGTGGTCATTTGACTCCCTTTAAGTATTCCAACGAAAATTCTCTGCATTCTTTGATGGCCCACCCGTCTCGCCCTAATAATATTTGGTGTAGAACGCAACTTACGTCTCCCTGCTTATCTGTATAATCAGGTTTCTTACCTTGGCTTGTGGATGCTCGCTGTGGTTACGGCTCCAGCCTCGGTCCGACGGCACCTGCGCGCTCGTTATCGCGCGATAAGCTGTCTGTCGCGCACTCAGTGTCACGTGGGCCATGCAACTGCGCAGTAGCCTATCCTGAGCGACATGAACCCAGTCAGCACCTTGTTTATCTAAGATACACTGCAGTATTCACATTTCCATCTGCGTCTAGAACTCTCTAGTGGTTTCTTATCTTCGAATTTTTCGAATACATTTTTAGATGCATTTGTCAACTTTTCCCATACCTACTACATGCCCTGCCCAACACATCCTCCTTGATTTGAGCACCGTAATAATATTTAGCCAAGAGTACAAACCGTGACACAGAGGAGCGCACTGCTTCCGAGCGGCTGCCTGCCAACTCAGCGCAGTGCGGGGAACGGACGGAGTGACAGGGGGACGGCGGAGGGACCGGGGAGCGGGCGGAGG